TGCGTCATCGTATGCCTGCGTGTCTGCTCGCCAGGATTGAGAGGTGCGGCCGTACAACTCTGTGTGCAGCGACCGTACAAACAGTGGCCAATCATCAACCTCTGTTTAACCTAATCCCCCATCTTGATCATGAGTAGCTCCATGTGTGCACACTTTATCCACAATATACTAACTGAACAAACGTGCTCCGTGCTACACGTCTGTTTCCTTTATAGCTGGGCTATAGGTTAGCTGGTTCTGGGAGTCTAGCTAGATGTTTGAGAATCCGCCATAGAGATTTCTGAGTCAGTCAGGCTTTACTAGCGTAGCAATCCGCTACAAAACAAACAAACACAGATCGTTTACCATCTTTACAATTTCATGAGCAATCAGTCTTCGGCCTTTTGACTGTCAATAGATTGCTCAATTCGGAACAAAATGTCTGAGAACCAAAGTACGAGAAACAGCATCAAAAATATAAATGCAAACAAAACCATTATTTTTCGAGTTCACAACTTTGTATTTTGAGGAATAATATGCTAGCACCACTCTCGAAGTCTACCGATGCATAAAATGAGAAAAATAAGCAAAATTTGAAGTAGAGAGTATATTTTATTAAGATTGTACAAATGCAGACTGGTAAAATGTATCACCTCGTTGAAAAACGGAATGAAATAATTATTCGGAATCCTCAGTATTATCAAACAGCTCCTTCATTTCTACATACAGCCTCTGCATTCCCAGATCCATTGCAAAATGCGGAAACAGTTCCTTCATAAGAGATCGCTTTGATAAACCCTAAACATGAAATCGAACACACACATAGAATAAGGTTAAAATTTCAATAACAAAAGAAAAGTTATTGGCGAAGATACACACTTTGATTGTAGATTCCCATGAAGTGTTAAGGGAAGATGACATTGGACCAATGAAATCAAGACATACTTGACGAATACGCCTTTCGTCATCTACAGAAAACAAACAGAATTGATTGAAGCACTCATTGTGTAAAAACCACTGAATGCATACATTTTACAAGACAACGTTAGGTGATTGCCATTTTAATAGTAACAAATGATAGTAAAGAAGGCGTTTAGAACGATTATTTCGGATAGAGAGGAGAGTCTTGTGAAGAACTACCATTTTGGCAACCATCCTAGTGACCAGAATTAATACCTGCTATGAATTCCTAGCACAGACCATATGTCTACAGCTTCATTCTCGTAAAGAATCAGTATAGTAATTTATTCATTCGTTGAGCTGCAAAGACAATATGATGAATTTTCAGCACGAATAGTCTGCCAACATCCACCATCTATTCCATTACCCCCGTAGAGCCAGCACTTTTAGGAAGTTTTGTTTTTGCATCAAATCTCTAGCTGGATTACGGATACCTCCTTTGCAAACATGAATGTTGCGTTCAGAACTCTGAGAATCCATCCCATCGATTTGCCTCTCGCATCATCTTGAGTCCTTATTTATCCCTTTCTGAAGATCTCTGCTTTTCGTAACCGCGCCCACTCCAACCAGAATTTAGAAGCCTACCGAAATAAGATGTCTGACGAATAGTCTTTTACAACCAAACTTTAACTTTTAGACAGTGAACAATTTGACGCACTAATCTTGTCTTTATCAATTTTTCCAACTAACGCAATGCAATAGAAGCTTAAAGCCACTTGACAGTACTTACTTTCAATAACAAGTTGTTGGAACCACCGATTGAGCCAGAACCTGAATTCTGCAGCCGAGCCAAACATCTCAGCTACTTGTATCTGTGTATCATAGAATTCCTGTAGGTCTCTACGATGCGAGGGTGTATTTGCAGACAAATCACCAGTAACCAGGACATTTAGTCGGCCAAATTTCTGCATCTCCGAAAGGGGGCCGGATGGGCAAGTTCGATGGAGTGTCGCCGCAGCACGCCGCTTGAAACTATCCTCTCCACCTATTGAACAAATAAGAATGTTAGAAGTGGTAATTATTCCGAGAAATGAATGAGCCATTCACCTTCACCAGCATTGAATAACTCGACCCATAGTTTCCTATCTACGTGAAAGAGAGCACAAGATCCGAGTTTGAAATGTACAACTGGGTGCTTGACTTCACCGGGGGAGAACGCGAGGTCCACAGCTGGGAAATGCGTGGTGTCCAACTTGGTTGTGAGAACAATTTTCGGCAAATTTTTCTCCATACCACAGCCAAGATGAGAACCCGAGCAGCTCAACATTTTGGCACTCAATTTCCAGATGGTGAGACACCCGGAGGAAGTGAGAACAGCTAATTTCTCAGTGGAATCGTCGAGCACAGTGGCAGCAAGAAATTGAATGGGAGAGTCGAGGCGTAGGGGTGGACAAATAGCACAGCCTGTACTCCAGAGAAGACGAAGATTACTGTTAGCATCTCCAACGGCAAGCCATTTCCTGAAATAGAATACGAATAATATAAAGATCTCCCTTCAGTATACCCTGGATTGAATTATATAATTCATGTCGCGAACGCTTCTATGCTTGAATGCACATCGAAGGGAATTCTTACAAAGCGAAAAAGTGATTTTGTGGGTAAATTAGGAAAAAAGAATGTAAATAATAAAATGGTTATAAGGGGAGAGGGGCTAGATTACATATAATAACATCGACCGGAAAGAGGAGACTCTTAATGATGTGGCACCTCCATTGCGCAACACAATGGAAAATAAAATTGACGACAGTGAAGGAAGTTGGCACACCTATCAAAGACGAGGTCGAGATTGCTTAGCATTGGCGCATAGAAGTCCAATGTTTAAAGAAAGAACAAGCACAACGCTCTTGAAGAGAAACGAAAGGGAGAGGCGGGGGGGGGCAAAACAGAAATGAAGTCGTGGTCAAGCCCCATATTTACTGGACAAGATGTATAGAAGGCCGCTCAAAAACATCACTAACAGAGTGCCATTCCAATTTTCTTTGGAATTTTAATACCCACCCGATTGTGAATTACAAAATGATGGTCAAAAGTAGACATTCTCTACATTTGTCAAATAATGTATGGGAATATATTTTGAAAGGCTTTCAAAAATCCTCCTATGATTTTACATTAGAGCCGAACAAGAAGCAGATTTAAAAATAAACTTCAAATTCAATACACTGCGTTAAAAAGAACAAGCATTTTAATTTCTAAGTAGCCTAATGCCAAGTGATATATCGAATATTTATAAGAAGACCATTAGTATCCTATAGCCTAACCGAAGAGAAACTCTAAATTTATAATCTCTTAATACAACCAATATTGGCCAATATGATCAGATATGTCGTGAATAGGATACGTGGTGAAAGCATAGCATATAACTTGGCAGAGAGTAACACTAGTCACTGGGCCACTGATGCACAAAAAAGGTGAATACAGACTCTAAATGAAAATATTTACAAAAGTAATGCTATATACACACGCAGCCATAGTAATGAAAAAAACCACAACAACAACGGAAATAGAACCTGGAGTGGGCATGGCTAGTAAACCGATACGAGGAGAGGAAAGTCCAGTCAGTTTTCACATTTCCATCAGTCGATTGTGAGCCGGTGATTTTGTGGACAGCATTCTTGCCACCCTCCGCGTTGGCAATCTTCACAACAATCGGCCCGTCAATCGGATGGTCACAAACAAATTGGGCCTGATTGCCACACTGTTCCATCTGATCCGCAACTTTGATTTGAGGTGCTCTAGAAGTGACGACATGAGAAGCACCTCGATCTTCTAAAATGGAGTTGCGATAGGCAAACAGTCAGATGGAAGCAAAAGCTCCAATACGGAGAAGTGAATGAAAGTTTCACAATGAGACTCTAAGAAAGCTTTCTCTTGTAGTTACAACAAAGGACTCACCGCTTAAGACCGATACACCAGTGAAAAGTGTGTTCAGAATCAAGGAAAACAGGGAAAAATATTAATTTTTAAAAAACAGATGATTCAACAGTCCGATTGGCGATGACAGTCAGTCGTCCTGAACACTGATTTTGGGCACTACTGAAGCCTTTCATGACCCCCCCCCCCTAACCTAAACTTGTCAGTTGTTAGTGAACCAATCTCTGCCTGTGTTGTCTTAGACCAAAGATCCTTCATGCGGATTTGAGTGAGTACCTAGGAACTCAAAATCCTGCAATCAACGAAAATTTCCAAAAAACCCTCTTCTATTTACCGCAATAGGGTGGTGTGTTTTTCTACACAATTATAATAGCCAATATGGGGTGTGCGATAGACTTACCTCCACGTGGTGCACCCTGGGCAACGTGTACTCATACGGCAAAAAAGTCTATTAACCGGCAGTTGACTACTCACTTCAAACTGCCAAGACCCCACCGCATTTCATATACGACTAA